CAGTTACCATCCACCCTACTACCCTCCATACCCCGCTAAAAAAAAAAAATTTTTACCTTAAGTTTTTTTTGTAATTCCAAATTTCTGTGTTTTCATTTTCTGTACCACCCCCACCCCCACCCCACCCCACCCCCAGCATAAGTTTTTTTTACTTTTTTTTTGTAATTTAAATTTTTGTTTTTTTTGGTTTTACTGTCCCCCCTAGCCCCGACCCACATCCCCCTGCCCCCCCTCCCCCGCCGAAAAAAATTTAAAATATATTTTTTAGTTTTTAATATTATTATTTATCGATTTAAAGGCTCAAAATTTTACAAGTTCCAAAATTATGAGTTCAGAGGTTTATGTGTTTGGAAGTTTATGGGTTTAGAAATTATAAAGTTTACGGGTTCGAAAATACGCGGTTTTTGCGTTAAAAAAGTAAAGCATCACATTAGTTCCTTTAGATTGTGTCAATTTTTAGAGACTTCGGGAAGGGGTGGGGGAGGGGGAGGGGTGGGGGAAGGTGGGAGGGGAAGGGGGAGGGGTGAAGAGAGTTGCATAAAAAATATTTTCTACTCTTTAACCAAACAATAGAAAATATTTTCCGGAAAATGTTATCCACTTACCAACCAAAAAAAAAAAAAAAAGTGATAAAACCACTCATTTTCCATGAAAACATTTTCTAGGAAAACATTTTCTAGGAAAACATTTTCCTTCGTACCAAACACACCCTAAATATTAGTCGTTTGGTTTTCTTCATCCTTCCAGGGCAAGTAGCGACGTCGTATGACAGGGAACAATATCGTCCGCCAGATTAAAATCAGAAACGAATCTAGACCGTGTACTCATAAGGCTGCGACTCCTGAGGTATAAGAAGGTTTGACAGCAAAAAAGAAATTGCAGGAATATTTGTATTGGGCATTGGAGCAAAGTAACAAGTGAGAAGAGAAGAAGAGAGAATGTCGGGATCAGGAGTCACTCAACAAGAAGAGGACAAAAAGCCAGCCGATCAGGCCGCTCATATCAACCTCAAAGTCAAGGGCCAGGTCTCTTCTTTTTCTCCCTTTTAAGATTTGTTGTATGAAATTTATATTGAAGATTTGAATTGATTGAATGTTTTACTTTTCCTTTTCTCATAGCCAGTACAACGAACTGTTTTGCACCGTTCTAGTTGGAGAAATTGGATTTTCTGTAGTTGTACTTTGCGATTATGGTCTTTGATTACTGTTGAAAATACGTAGTTGATCCTGAAATCCACCTTAAAACCACGTTAACTCTGAATGTCATGAATATTTTGAATTAATTTTTTCTTCTCCATTTACTCAGATGGGTAGAATTAAATAGTTTATTGCTCCATAACCAACTGGATTCTTATTTATCTTTATACACTGTTAGGTTGTTACCCTTTGTACACCTCCAATGAAATTCAGATATTCAATTTATTTTAGGGTACTCAGTAAATTTTTTTAATGGATGGTAGTAGATAAAGGAGACTAGGAGAGTATGGACTTTAGCTTTCTTTTTCCTGCTGACAACTGATGGTAAGGGCCAATGCACAGTCAGTTTAGCTGTGGCAGTTCTCGATCAGTTTAGTATACTTGTTTATTCAATATATCTGCTATAGGTAAAGAGTTCATCGCTAAACTAAAAGGCCTTGTGAAATGAAGATATCATGTAGATATATGGTTGCTCCTTGTAGTGTGCTCGTGTTATGTTTATTAGTTCTTGATTTGACTCAAATATTTTTAATGTGTTGTGCACCCAAGCTTGTGGCCTAGTGGTCGATAGAGTGGGAGGAGAGCCGTGAGATCTCAAGTTCAAATTCTACTATTCTAGCATAGGCAAAAGACATAGATTATTTCTTCCCTTTTGCCTAAACCTTGGGGGTAGAGTTATCCGGTACCTGTGCTAGTGGGAGGCAGCATGTAAGCGGTGGAATAATTGATGCACGCAAGCAGGTCCGAATACTGTCATCATAAAAAATATTATTTGTGTTGTGAGCTAACATGGTAAATCTATGGTTTCTGAATAACGATACAGATCCGCTTCTGCTTCCATTACCTTAATATGTAGTAATTAGGTATATCTGCTTGGCAAAAATCCATCCCCTTCTATCGCACCATTGTCCATATTCTCATGCTTAATTCCATATTTTGTTCTCTTCTGTGACATAACGGATACATTAAGCATCTGAGAACTTAACTTCCTTCAGGAGAAAGTTCAAAAAGAGTAGGCAAAACAATGAAAGCAAAAATTGAAAAATAAATGTTGAATGTATTGATTTTTGAACACGTCTCATCTTTTGGATGACACTGTAAAGAAGAGAAACCTGATGATCTCTGAGTAAAAGCAGAATAACTAATGATGTCTGTAGTATTTAAGAACACTCTGCTTCTTGTTTTTTCTAGTTTGTTCATCTTCTTGCTTGTTTTGGCTAATTTATATAGCCAAAGTTGGTCAAGAATCCTCAAAAGTTCTTGTGGAAAAATTTCTGACTGACAATAATCCATATTCAAGTATACGGAGTCTCTGAAGTTGACCAATTTTTGTAGGACGGAAATGAGGTGTTTTTCAGGATCAAGAGAAGCACACAACTGAAGAAGCTCATGAATGCTTACTGTGATAGGCAGTCTGTGGATTTCAACTCTATTGCATTCTTGTTTGATGGTCGTCGCCTCAGGAGCGAGCAAACTCCCGATGAGGTTTCTGTCTCGCCCTTTTTTCTTCACCAACCAATACTCCTCTTCCTGCCTCTCGTTTTGAAAATATCTTTCCTCATGTCCCTAAACATCATAGAATCTGTAATGTGTTGTCTCACTACTTTTTCCATATTCTTTTTGACAGCTCGAGATGGAGGATGGGGATGAAATTGATGCTATGCTGCATCAGACTGGTGGATCCTTGGGTTAGTTTTATATCAGAGGGTTTTGGGGCAGCTTAAAGTATCTTCAGTATATAATTGGCCGAACTATTATGAATGTAGTTTAGCTTGTACTCTGGTGGGCTAGTAATGAGCTGCTTATGGCTGGTCACTATTTTTGGATCTTGTTAGTTATTGCCTTTTATTAACTCTCGGGTTTTGATATGATCAGTTTTTGGGCCCTTTGATTTCTATTATTGGAGGTCTTAAATTTCTGGTTTTGAAGCAAAGCTTAAACTGACCATTCCCATTCAGTCAAAGTCCAAACTACATATTCCTATCCATATACATATACATATACATATTACTATCCTATCTTGGAAATGCGCTATATTAAATTGGCGACTTGCTCATCATCAAAATTATGCTTCTGAAATTGCTTCATCTATGTGGTGTCATTTTCTTTTTATCATGTTCTTTCTTTCTCTCTAAGCATGATTTTAAATTAGAAGAGAGATTTTAAGATATGACAGATCTATTCACTCTAGCCGAGCTGGCTCTAGTGCATCATAAGGGATTTGACTGGTATGGTCGCTCTTAAGTCTAAGGATGTTGTATGTCTTGAAGGGATGCCTGATAAGATTGGAACGGCGTAGAAAAAAAAGGATGTTGTGTTTGGGAATAATTAAGCGATAAAATTGGAACGACACAGAAAAGAGTATTGGAACGGCACAAAAAAAAAGGATGTTGGATTTGTGTTCCTAATTGGAACGATATAGAAAAGAGGATCGTTGGATTTTGGAAGTCTTGTATACATTCTTGTATATAGAACAAATCCTAAAATATAAGTACAGTAGGAATTTTTACTCCCTATAGTAAAGGTATACCCCTATTTATTATAAATTAAAATTATTTTAAAATATTATTTTCTATAGCTATCTTTTATATTTTATAGCAAAATAGGTATTTATGGTATATACTATCATTGAGGCGTGAAATAAGCTATTTATGTTTTTCCTCTCTCTTTCTTTCAATTAACACACGATTCTCTCTCATAATTTTTCTTCTTTCTCTCTCTTCCTTCTCTCTCTCTCAGAGCAAAATACCTGCTTCTAATAGTGAATTTTCTGGCCGAATCCTCTAGGGTTACTGCAATTGAAAATACTTCTAAACTGTTGGGAGAAAGAGGGGAAAGACAGACCTTTTTTTTAAAATCAGATTCCTTCATAGCAAGGAGGGGCTCGTCGCTCTGAGGCTAAGGCCACTGCGCGGGGAGCAAAAGCGATGTCGGAATAATAGAGCATGGGTACTGTAACATGAACGATAGATACTTCAATATTTTCTATGCCAAAGAAGATTTGAGGGCCGGGGTTTTTATTCGTCTCCATTTTTAGTTTTAATACAATGTATACAGTATTTTGCTTGGCCAAAAAATGCCATCTTCGACGAACTTTCTTCTCTTCTTTGCTATTTAGTCACATATAATGATACAAATACATTGTATTCTGTATAAATTCACTCAAACACATTGTATATTTGTATAAATATATTTTTTTACATGTTTTTATGCATTTCGAAGGTCTGTATTTTTTTAATACAGCTGAATACACATATCTTTATGCATACTGTACATACAGTATGCATGAATACATGATATAGACATTGAAATACATTGAATACAAACAATGAAATAGAAAAGAATATAAACAGTGAATGCATTTAATTTTAAAATATAGTGGAATACAATAAAATACACTGAATCCAAATAGAAATACAGTGAATACAACCAATGAAATATACTGAATACAGCAGTAATAACATGTATGAGGAATAACTAAGATACTGTTAATACAAATAAATTTGAATGCACATAATACAAAATAGTGAATACAGTAAATACAAACATTGAATCTAATGAATGCGACAGTAAAAAATAAAAATTGTAAAAAACTAAATACAACAATTATATACAACCGAAAAATTATTCTAATTAATTGTGTTGATAATAAGACGTGTTAGAATTGATTTTGTTGAGTTATATTAAGAGTGTATCACGCTAATTGATCCTATTTCCGTTATTAGACAGCTGGACAAACCTGTTTTAAGGTGACTGTCGTTACTGTATTCATGAATACATGGCGCGAATACATGTGAATACAGTCGCGTACAGCTGTAACCCCCTGTTTTTAGGCGACCTTTGCTACTGTATTCATGAATACAGTAGCGCGAATACACTGTTTACCATAAAATTGGATAACAATTAAACTTATATGTGGTTTTAAGGATATGTAATTTCACCTAGCACCAATTGATAAATACGATGATTAATAGTAGAAATAAACAACAAAGTAAAGCAAACCAGTACTGAAATGCAATTCAACCCTCGAGCTAGGTCGCCCTCGAACTGAGTGAGTGAGAGTAGAGTTATGAAACAAACTGATGAACAAGAGAGTATAAGAGAAAAGAGTATTATGTTGCTTTGATATGCGTGAATGTAAGATCATTACAAATGGTTAATAGCCTCTTTATATAGTAGAGGAATCCTATTTACTGTACAATTCTAATTACAGAAGGAAATTCCACGATTAGCTAAATACCGTCCTTGATTTGATCTGTTCCGAGATTTTCACCGTGATTCTCGTCCAATCACGGATATCTCGCCTTTTCGTTATTATTCTATCTTCGGTCTTGCTCGAGTTCGAACTCGATCATCACTGGTCTCGATCTCGACAGGTACCTCGAACCCCGAACTCGGTACCTTATCCTCATATCTCGGTCTGACGTACTACGGGGCGGATCCTTGACCTATCCTTCTGGTCCCGATTAATCAGTGAAATTGGATGGGCCCGATTTTTACCGTATACAGATATTCCCCTTGTTTTTTGGAGTATAATGACTAGAAACGAATTGAGTCCTCGATCTTTACCCCGATTTGTCATGATGTCATCACCGTGATGTAAGCGACAGAAGTGACCGAAACGTCCCATCGGTTCAATTTCCCAAGCATTTATGGCGCGTCAGTTGCCGGTCAGCCACTATCAACTTTGAACCATCGTTGTGAAGCCCATAAATAGGCCTCTTTTCCACTTTTTCAAACTTTACTTTTAATCTCTTCCGCTCTAATATTCAAAACTCCTTGAAACCTTCAAGTTCTTTATCTGCAAATCTTCCAGTTTCATTGCTAACCTCTTTTTTCCAAAACACCGAATATCCTAATCCCCATTCTTCCTTGTTTACAAAAATGGCTAAGACCTCTAAAACTGTTTCGCAGAAAGAGAAAACCTCATCGTCTCAACCAGTCGACAAGCAACTGGCAGCGGAGCCACGCCCGAAGAATTTTTTCCTCCGCTGTGCGTTCTTGACTTTGAATTTAAGGTTGAAGAGATCCCTTCGGTTCCAGGCCGATACGAGCCAATATCGAGGTACATATGTACAATCACTGGTGACCTCCTAAACCAAGTTAAGAAGGATTGCAACTGGGTAAATAAGCACGTGGTGGTGCCCTCGCCTGAGGAATCAATCACCACGTATGGGGAGGGGTTTTTGAGTGTTTACACCCACCCTTTCACATTGGGTCCTCTAGATCCAATTATCGTGGACTTCTGCAAGAAGTACGAGGCCACCCTCGGCCATATTCATCCTTATTTTTGGAGGATAGTGATACTGCTTCGATTTTTTGTGAGCAAAGTCAAGGGGCTTCCCTTCACCCTCGACCATCTCATTCCCCTGTATAGCCCCCGACCTTATCGGGGAGGATTAGTAAAGCTTCAGCGTCAGACAACAAGGTGGCCTTCTTGAGCATAGATAAGGACAAGGACCAGGGTTGGATGGGCCGATTTGTCTGAGTAAAGACACGGACCTGATCCCGGCCGAAAGCATGCCATTTTCGAAGAAATGGAATATGAAACATAAGTTTAATTCCATTTTTTAACTTCTGTTTATTATCTCCACTTTTTCATTCATTCTTACCGGCATTTTATTTGATGCAGCCGTTGCCTGGATGTCGGGTGCGAATCCCCATCTCCAGAACTAGGTCAGGAGCCTAGTGTCGCCATCAAAACACGCTGAGCGCGCGTGGCGCGAGTTGTCGAAGGGTCGATGGGAGGTCCAAAACCATGGTAAGTTTTCGTGTAATCCAATAACTTCGACTAATATCGGAATTTCTTTTTGATCTCATTTATCCTTCTTCTGCAGGTCTTGGGATGGACGTGCCGATGAGGCACCCATTAGGTGATGAAGAAAACCTTCCCCAAGCGTCTGCTCAGAAACAGAAGAAAGAACGGAAAAGGAGAGAGGCTTCGAGCTCCACGAAGCTGGACGAGCAAAATCCCAAAAAGAGGCGGACCAGTAGGGGGGAATGTCATCCCTTTGAAAATGGACTCTGTCCTCAGGCTACGAGACGAGCCCGAAGAGGGTGAACAGGAAGAAGAAAATGAAGATGATTCCGGGCTGATAGTCCGTGCACGAGCTAGAACCAGGGTTCAGAAAGCTTCAGAACAAGTGGAAATTGATGGTGACCGACCTAGGCCCGATGATATCGAGGAGGAGGCTTCGGCCCAAGTCCCCGAGCTAAAGGGAATCGAAGATGTTTTGCCTCGGGGCAAAGAGGCCATTGAGGAGGCAATGGATGCCGGAGCGGAGAACGAGCTCAAGGCTCCCCAAGATGGAGCCAGTGCTTCAAAAGACCCTCGGGGGGCAATAGATATTGGGGATTCCCCCTTGTTTCCTTCGGTCTTCGATTCTTTGGTACGTGATGCTCAAGCCGTGGAAACTTGCCATGGGGAAGGAGCCCACGGAGAGGAGGATCTTTTTTGTGGTTTATTTGCCGGGATAGAAGACGTCATCGGTTCGGGTGACCTGGAGGTTCCGAGAAAAAGCTCGGGTGAGGCTTCCTCGAGTTCCAAACTGACCGACCAGTTCCCGGCTCCCAGTGTCGATCCCGGGCGCAATCGAACTATCGTGATCATGGTCCCGAAAGATGCTCGTGTTCTTAGTGCCCTCGTGGGGGTGGCCAGCTATCTCCGGGGTTTGGTCACAGATAAAGATCGAGCCCGGATAGACGTGGTGGGAGCTCCTTATCTTTTCAACGAAGCCCAACTGGCTTTAAACCGGGTAATCCCTGATTCTTCTATCCATTTTTGTACTTTGGTTTTTCTCCCTTAGTGTAATTTTTCCCTTCTATGTTTACATGCTTCGGTGCTTCATCATGAAGATTTCCTCCGATTCCGAGGGGAACTGAGCCGTTATGAGGCTGATA